AATTTATAAGATAATACTGAAATAAAAAACAAATAAGAACATTATTATAAACAAATTACAATATCTAAATACACATATACATGTATATAAATATGTTCTAATAGAATTAAAACACAAGACAGTTGTAATTTTTACTGTATATGTACAAAATGAACTTTTATCCGTTTACACAGAAATTATAATATTTATTAAAATTATCAGTAGAACAAAACAAAACCTTACAATCTCCGCTTATAAACTATTTTTTATGTCAATATTACAAAGAGAGAGAGAGAGAAAGAGCGGATTTTTTTATGTGGTATACAAATGGAACCACTGCTCTAATTTCAGAAATTGTTTCATTGTTTGAAATATACATTATAGGCACCGACAATACATTATTGATATAGGTTACATATTATATTAATATCACAAAACCACTTGAGCGAAGGCGGTGCAGGCCAGTAGTTAGGCCCGGTCGCTGATATTATATTATTTTACAGAAACATGGCGAAAAAAAAACATATGAATTGCTTGTCAGCATCCTACATATATGACTACTACATTACTTACATATAACAATACTAGTATGTACCGAAATTATTTGTAAAAAAAATAAAGTTCACTAAAGATATTCAATTTTTTTTAACTTATTTTTACAAACTTTCCATCAGACGTGAAGACATACTTTGGTGGTGTATGTGTATGAGTTGTATAACTCTCCATAATCGCACCGTTGCTATTTAATTTAAGGTTTGCTTTGCAACCCGATTTTTTCTTTGAACAGTAATACTTTGAGTTCATTTTCGAGTAAGTATAATTCTTATGCATAAGCATATGTCCTCTACGTGTCGGTATCAATGTATATTCTGAAAAAGGAATAGGAACTACATAATAACTATTAAAACTTAGGTATTAAATTTCTATTGGAATAGTAATTAAAATGTTATATTTAGAAAGATAGTCAAAAACGCCTTCTATTATTTCGTTGATGTGTTGCCGTTGATGTGATCCTTTTACTTCTAGTTCACTGTATAACATATGCTGCTGATTAAACCCCTACAATAAGTCGTAGAAATAAAATATTTATACCCCAATTTATTGCGTAGAATCAGATTTTTTCTTAAACTATTTATATTGCGGCTAGTAATCTATTCCACAGGAACTGTTGAAAGAAAACTACCGAAAATACTTTGATGAATGAAAAATAATCAATTAATCATTAACATCTTTATATTGACAGACAATCAGATTGACAATATTTTATGTAATGGGAATAACAAACAAGCTGACGGCTTCCTTGATGACAGCTATAACCGTGTACATGAACTGCACTATCGATATCATGTTAGTATGTGATGTTAGAATGAGCCGTGATGATAGAACTAGTAGTAACTGGCCCCACGCCAGTCAGACCGGCGCGTTTTTTATACTACTGACGGTGGCAAACAAGCATACGGTTCATCTGATGGTAAACGGTTACCGTAACCTATGGACGCCTGAAACATCAGGAGTGACAAATCCGTGTTGCCAACTTATAAGAAAGGAGTTTACCTTTAGAGTATACTCTACAAAAAAAACCTCATGTTGTAGTATTTTGAGAAAACCTGGGCAGGTCGTTATGCAACAATCTATGTGTACGCATGTGGGGACGAATTCCTTGTAGATGGCGAATGGTGCGATGGTAAACGTTAGTCATCATGTCGAACAATAGGTTGATAGTAGTTACATTATTCCAGAGTAACTTATGACATAAAAAAGTTGCTTATAATCTAATGAGTCTCCAACATATATGAGTAGAAAGAAAGAAAAAAATATTTATTCAGTGCTATTCTATTACAATATAAACAAAAACAAGTAAAAAAGGGATAAAATATATATATATATATAATCAAACTTAAAGTAACACGTGCTCGTGTATATATAATTTAAATTAAACATGTATAAAAAAAAATTATTTTAACATTCTTTTATACGTTACTATGTACTTATTAAAGCACTACATTAATTATTTAATAGTCATATATGTTGGTATGTACGTAGTACTCATTTATACCACATTATTGAAATAATACTATATTAATTACATATGATACAACACTAGTATGCACTGAAATTATTTGTTATTGAGAAAAATTAAAAAAATATTAATTAAATATATTTTAAATTTTTTAACTTATTTTTACAAACTTTCCATCCGACGTGAGAATATACTTTGGTGGCGTGTGTGTATGAGTTGTATAACTCTCTATAATTGTGCCGCTGCTGTTTAGTTTGAGGTTGGCTTTGCAACCCGATTGTTTCTTTGAACAGTAATACTTTGATTTTATTTTCGAGTAAGTGTAATCATTATGCATAAGTATATGCCCTTTACGCGTCGGTATCAACGTATATTCTGAAAACAGAATAGGAAATAATAACTATTGGAACTTATCATTTTTATATTTAAATAGAAGACATTGTAATTAAAATTTTATATTTAGATATATAGTGTTACCGTCAACGGCAACCTTTCGCCAGCGTGCCCCGCTAAAGCAGATTACAACAACTACAACGCCAACGGTTTGAGTGTGATAACCACCACAATATATTTTTATTTAATAAATATTATTTATGCTTATAAACTTAAATTAAATATATAAATAGTAAAGATTAAATCTAATTATTATTATGACATAAAATGTATGTTCTAGAAAGTTCATGTTTATTATTGAGTACAAGATATAAGATTTGACGATAAAAGTCCCACCTACCTACTGACTTTAAAAAGAACCACCATATTGTGTGCAGGGACCAGTGCGGTTTAGACGCTCGAAGTGAAAAATACATAGAAGTCAAAGAAGAAATTAATAGTCTCTCGTTGCTACTGCCGCCCCGTGACAACAGTGGAAAACATGTCTATTGTTTCATTAGTTTTGTTGACATTCTTGATAATATGTATATATTTGGTAAAAGGTTTACATTATACCAACTATATACTTTTTTCATTCACTGTATACACTGCTGGTTAAAATCCTGTATTAATAATAGTGAAAAATCACCTTTATTTTAAACTATATATTTTATACTGCGGCTAGTATCTAATCTATTCCACCAGGAAAGTGGTGAAAGAAAACAGTTGAAAATACTTTGATAAATTAAAAATAATCAATTAATTTAACTCTAGATTATACCAGTAGCAACTGGTCCGCCGCCAGTGCCTTTTTTTATAATACTTATAGTGTAAACAAGCATACGCTCTATCTGATGGTAAATGTTACCGTATAGAAGCCTATAGAAGCCTGCAACATCAAGGGATTCACGTGCGCATTGCCAACAATTAAGAAAACTAAACTATACAATATAAAATTCCCTTCAAAACTTTAAAGAAAAAGAAAACATGGGCAGGTATTTCATACCATAATCTTAGTGTATACGAGAGGAAACTCCTCTGAAACTGCACTTAGGTTCTAGAGTATGGGAATGAAATCCCTGTCGATGGCAAGTGGTGGGATGGTAAAGGTTAGCCGTAAGCATCATGTCGAACAATAGGTTGATATTTATTCCATAGTAACATATGACAAAAAAAAGTTGTTATGAGCCAACATATATGAGTAAAAAGAAAGAAAAATAGTGGTAAAATAAAATAAAATGTATATATAATTAAACTTAATTGAACATGTATATAAATCATTAAAAATAATCATTTTTCATACATATAGGCACTTAAATGGCTCCACTCGGCTTTATTGAGTACTACATTAATTATGTAATGTTGTTATGTTGTTATATAGTAGTAGTAGTCATATACACTACATTATTAATATAGTACTACATTAGTTACATATGATACAACACAGTATACAATCTATATGTTATTGTAATAAGTTCATCATCATCATCATTAAAAAAAAAGTTCAGGAAATATATTTTTTTAATTTATTTTCACATAGCTTCCATCCGGCATGACGATATACTTCGGTGGAGGGTGTGTATGGGTTGTATATCTCTCCGTTATTCGACCGGTGGCGTTTAGTTTGAGGTTAGCTTTGCAACCTGAAAGTTTCTTTGAACAGTAATACTTTGAGTTCATTTTAGAGTAAGTGTAATTATTCAGCATAAGCATATGCCCTCTACGCGTCGGTATCAACGTATATTCTGAAAAATAAATACGAAACATAATAATTTACAGCATCATTGAAAAAAATAATTATACATTTGTATTGTTTATATTATAATTGTATTTACCATAAACTTGAATTGCTGCATTGATACCTAAATATATGCGAAAAATAAAATATTTTTATATAGTAATTATTTTGCTGTCAGAAGTTACCATATTCACCAGGAAATTGGAATATAAATGATCAAAAATACTTAGAAAAAAAGAATTTCGATTAATTTCTTGTACTAATGAATACTTTTTTTAACATATATACTTATCTTATATAACCGATAGAAGTCGCCTATAACGAACAAACCTTATGTAAAAAATTAATTAGTAATCCGTGCTGGAACGTTAAGAAAATTATTTGTATAAAAATTAATATTAAAGAAATTTTTAGTTTTAATGTTTTTTTTACAAAGTATCTTTTTTATATGTATATTTTTTACATAAGGGATTTGGGCTATTACTCGGGTCTAATCAGAACATGTAGCACTGCGACCTGCATAGATCTATTGTGCTCACGCTATTTCAGAAGGAAGAAGGGTAAGGGGTAAGAATTGAAGGATATTCTTAGGCACGATGGTTTTTATCTCCTCAGGATAGATGTATACTTTCCAAAGTAGATATTTCGTTTATACATGGGTGGGCTACAACCACATAGCATATGCAGTGGCGTTTTCTATGACATTTGACAAAATCTGCAAATGTTTGTTAAGCACAGAAAATACCATATATATAGTTATCTAACCTTGTTATTACTTTATTCGGCAGAATTAGTTTGTCACTCGTCATTAGAGTATGATTACCCCAGATGTATGCAGTAATAAATAATACATAGTAATATGTTTAATTATTTATATCAATAAATCTACATACAATAAACTTATAAATACAGATTCAAACGAACGATTTACATGTAACATATACCTATACTAACATTATAAAACATTACATTTTTTAAATATTCGATTGTCTCCAAAACTTAAACATTTTGAAACTTCTTTCAGCCAACAGAAATCTACGTGTAACGTAGCAGCGAGTAACGTAGACTACGCGTTATATTCATTCAATTTTACTTACATAATTTAAGATAATAAATCTAAAAGAATAACAATAGCATATTAATCTAGGTACCTATCTGTAAGTTGTAAGTTACCATTTCACGACTAAAAGATTGAATGCATCTTATTAACATTTGACGAGAAGATAATATCAAGAGCACGGGCATCAAGTTATCTTTTAACTAAAAAAGCAGCAAGCATGTTGCGGATAATATCTAGTCACCAGCATATCAATAAGATAAAATACATATGACATATTTTTATCCTTTATATATCTTCAATCCTTCATAAGTCTATTTAATTATTCACATAAAATTATTAATTATAACATTAAGTGACTCATCTGACGATGATGGAGCTTCTACAAAAGACATTATCTCATCTGGATGATCTTCCTTGATATGGTTGAATAGAATGGATTCATCACTCTCTATAGTCATTATAACAGCGGAACAAATTTTACAATTATGGTTTCCATCGTCTTCTACGTCGAAATATGTATTGACGAAATCTTTAGCATCTGAAATGCGAGATATATCATTAAACTCATTATCTACATTACATACAAAACACATAGATTATAAAATTGAGAACCTACCAGATTTTTCAGTGAATGGTACTTTAACATTAACGTTTTCTTGAGTTTTCTCATATTTCAATATTATGTCGTACGGTTTTTTATGTACATGCGAAATATGACGTCTTAAATTTGCAACACTCTGAGGAAATATTGATATTGTTTTACCACAAAATAAACATGCAAAGAGCCGATTTTTATCGATGGCTTTGAAGAAATTCCAGACACAAGTTTTATTCTTTCCTGAAAAGTAAATATTTGATGTATCACTAATCTGATAATTATTTAACGTAACAATGTATAAATAATAATAAACTTACGTCTTCCTAACACAGTTTTTTCACATAACGCGCTTACTATTTGTTCCATATCAGGATTTGATTCCGATATCATATCTATTTCTATATATTCAACTTTATCCTCATCAGTAACATCGTTTGATTCTGTACTTATTACGTATTCAGTTTCGTCTACATTCTGTTCTGGAGATGTACCGTCACTTTTCGTCATTACTCCTTTTGTTATGGTAGTTTCTGTTGTTTTAGGAAACTCAGATGAATTGGTGTCATTCTCGCTACTATTTACATCAACATTATCCTCTGAAACTTCAGTGCTATCGTCCTTTTCAGAGCTATTATTATTAACTCGGAATGAACCTTTTTTTCTTGAAGTAACATTTCTTTTATTTGTTTCTTTATCAAAAATTTTATAATGCTTGCATTTAAAATGTCGAATCATATTTCCAAAATGCCCTTTACGTAATCTCAATACTTCATTACAAACTAAACATTGATATTTTATTAATCCAATTTTCTTACAATAATTCGTGACCCAATTTCGAGTTTTTAGCTTTTTATTGTTCATATCCAGTAATGTATGAAGGTTTTCATCATCACTCTGATCAAAAACATCTGGATGTTTCGTTTCAATATGAGTTTTCAGGTTACTATATAAGCCGACAGGTATCACTAAAGTTAAAGAACAAATGATACACTGATATCTAGCATTAGAAATCTTGGTAAAATATTTTGTTACGCTCTCTTCATGACATAGTGTATCTTGCACAAACACTGCAAAACAAATAACAATATTTTTTTATTTAATTAAATATAACTTTGTAACTTAAATACCTATATTTTATTTCTATAACAGTCCACGACAGACCGCATAAGAGGTGCTACTAATACGATAGCCATTGGATTTAGTTAAATATTTTATTTTACTTACTACAATGCTGATGGATTTTTTAATTTTTTTAATGTAAATAATTATATACATATATATAATATAACATAATAATAATAATCACAGGACAATTCACACAGCGCCATATAGACCCAAGTTAAGCTAGCTAGCTTCTAAAGCTTCTGTTATGAGTACTAGATAACTGATACAAATACATAGATATTTCTTTTCTAAATACATACATATTATATATAGAAAACACCCAGACGTTGTTTGTGCCGTGCGAGGAATCGAACCCGCGATCATCGGAAGTAAGGCAGTGTATTAAACCACTAGACCACCGAGGCCGTCAAATGTCAGGATGGATTGATGGTATGTTATATGATGGAAAGTCCTTGGTGAAATGAGTTATAATAATAATACTTAGGGCAGTTCACACAGCACCATCAAGTCCCAAGCTAAATATAATAGTAGTAGTATCATACCTGACGTAGAGCGTAATTTCTCTGATTTGTACTGTTTATAAGCATTAGGGTGTCTGCACCGCAAATGTCTAGACATGTTCATGCAAATTTCTTGACCACAAAGTAAACAACGTTGGCGTGATTTTGTTATTGGTTCAAAGTATTCCCACATTTTGCTTCTCTTTCCTGTTTAACAATATAAAGCGGTATTATTTTAAAATTAATGTTCATTTTACACTAATCGTTCTATCCTTATATATATTACATACGCAAATTCAATGAACTTTCAGTTGTCGCTAAAGAAAATATAGTAGGTTTATTAAATTCGCGTATTATAAAATAAAATATGAAACAATGAATTTAACCTATAATTAATAGCAATGAGATATTTATTTATATTACCTAAAGTAATTAACATAGTATTAAGACTTTACTTAATTACTTTAGGAGTACTGAAATGATAAAACATATTGAAGAAGTACATAATAAAAAAATCGCATATTCAACCATAACTGTTTATTCTAGTACAAATATTAAATTCTAGTATTCAATCTTCAAAAGACAACAAATTTACTTTTAATTATATGTATTTATTATAACTTGAAACACAAAATTACAGACTAGATTTATGTCCCTTTCTTTTTAGCTATTCGTTCCACATGGCAGGGTTGGCTTTTCGTACATTTTTTGACACCTTAATCTGTCCTAGACATCGTCCTCTAAAATGGCACAGCATCACATTCCCTTGCTCCTTGCTCGCTGGACCACTTGACCTTAGTTTACTTCTGGCTCTTGAAGCGGCGATGGAAAGTTTCAGTTTCTAGAAGGAAGTACTCAAAGAATTTCTTTTTATTCAGAACATGTCATACATAATAAACTATGATTTAGATATACCGAAACAATAAAGAAAGCATGTAACCTTAATTGTAGCTTATTTCAATGCTTAACTTAAAATGTGTAATCATCATTTAATTATGCCATTTAACTTACATTAATTTTTTTATACCAAATTTACTATTTGTAGAAACTTGAAGCTTGGTGGCTGTTGCTTGATAAATAATCTGCTAATGGCATGGAATAATCCGTATATTAATTGAAATAATGTTTAAACAAAGATAATTTTTTTAATAAAATTTATTTGTGATATATCCTGCTACTTTATCCATAGTACACAGGCACTTAAAGCTAGTACCTAATTACAAATAAATAGATAAAATAAAATATAAATTAAGTTATTAAAATGTATAATATAAAATAATAAATAATATCTTTATTAAAATTCACACTTATACGATCAAGAATTTTCATTTTATGAGTGTAAATGACCCTATTACAAATTATAAGTTCAAATAAAATACTGTTAGGTGAATATTGTATTATCAAATATGAGATTAAATATATTATATACACATTATATAAACGAGATACTGACTATGATAATATTATTAAAGATCTCCCGCTATTTCGGCACTGTAATTGATTGATAATTGAAGCTCTTTAATAGTATCATCATTGTAAATATCTCATCTCATCTTAAATATAAATTTATAATGTGCACATTATAACTGTATTGTATTAATGAAAAAAAATTAAAACAATTAGATTAAACAACTATAAATTTACAAACAGTGTATGAAGTTGCAGTATCTATGCAGTTTTAGTATCATTAAAAGGTTGGGCGCTAACTTCCATCTTAGGAACGATTCTGCTTAACACACTCAATGCACTATTAGAGTTATAGTACCATCAACTAGAATAAATCACGATTCTTAAGTCTCTTATACAATTTAAATCAGATCTATAATCATATAATTATATGCACCTATATACCTACTTACATGTATACACTGTAAATTAAATAATATTAATGTTAATATACACAATTCCAAATTTTCTTTTAAATTCTTCTTTAATGTGTTTTAATCGCGTGTAAATTAGACTATGAATGAATTTAACAAAATAAACACGGTTAAATTTCATCTACCAAAACTCAAATACGAAGTGGCACTGAGGAGCTCCGCTGTCAATTGGGAAATAAAATTATAACTAAATAATAAATAAACAAATAGCAAAATCAGTCGAAAATTTAATAATATTATCACCCGAAAGACGGTAACTAATACCGTAAAAATTCTAAGTCCGCCTTTAAAGTGAATTAACTCACTACCGCTTATTTATTTATATTTGATTATAATGTTAAACATTAACGTCAGCTTATTAATTCAACACTTAATAACAACATTGGGAGACATTTATTAATTACGACGTTTCTAGTAAGACAATTTCATTTGGGTGCTCTTCATTTATGTGGTTGAATAAAATAGTTTGATCGCTACCTAAACAATATATTACCGTTGAACATAGTTTACATTTGTATTCTCCTTCGATGTCAGTGTCAAAATAGCTTATATCGAACTCTTCTGTTTCTGGAATACAAAAATCATTATTAGACAGTATAATACTAAAAAATAATACAAATCTTGTAATTAAGAATGTACCTGGATTCAACAATTTATCGCTGGTTTGCATTTTCTCTTGTTCTTCCTCATATTTTAATATCAGAGCGTAGGGTTTCTTGTGTACTAGTGATATATGCCGCCTCAAGTTTGAAACCACTTGCGGAAGTATAGTCATTACTTTTCCACAAAACAAACACGCATAAAGACGGTTCTCATCTATGGCTTTAAAGAAATTCCAGATAGACGATTTATTCTTTCCTGAAAAATAAAAATATCACGCATCTTATACGACAATGTAATCAATAAAATATACAATGTCATTAAAAATAATAGACTTACGCATTCCTGATGTAGATTTTCTACATAATTCCTTTACTTTTCGCTCCAGATCAGGATTTGATTCTGAAATTATATCTATTTCTATATATTGTTTTACTGTTTCTATATTAGGAAGATTATTTGTCTTTGTATCGATTACGTCTGTACTTGGTGTTACTTCCGTAATAATGTTATATTTGTCATTTTCAATCAGAGTTTCATTTCTCACATCATTTGCGGTTGTAGTTTCTAGTTTATTAACAAACACAAATAAATCAGTATCATTTATTTCACTAGTTGCATCTGCACTCTCTTCTATAACTTGTTCTTCGATATCATACGTATTTTGTTCAGATGATAAAATTATGACAGATTTGCCACTTTCAGTAGAGAGTGAAACTTCGTCATTGTTTACGTACAATCCATCATTAAGCAATCCATCGTCCATCATTGCAATAGCAGTATTTTTATTGTTTGTTTCTTGGTCAAAAATTGAATAATGTTTACATTTGAAATGTCGGCTCATATTTCCTAATTGTCCATTAGGTAACCTTAATACATTGTCACAAACTAAACATTGATATTTCGTTACACTAATTCGTCTACAATATTTCCGAACCCAACTTCGATATTTGCGTATTTTGTTCTTTGTTTGCAAGGACGAGTCAAGGTCATCATCAAAGAGCGAATCATTACTATTCATTACTTCATCAAAAACATCTGGATGTGAGATTTCAATATGGCCTTTCAAATTATTAAATGAGTCGATAGGTACGACGACAATTATAGAACAAATAATACACTGATACCTGGACTTTGTAAGTTCTGTAAAATACTTTTTTATCCAACCTCTATCACATGTCGTAACTTTATCAACTGTAAAACAATAAAAATAAATAAATAATTGACAAACTTAGATAGGCAACATAAAAGTAAATGAGATAAATTAAATGGAGGAAACAAAAAATGCACTACATTAAACATACCTAAATTCGGAAAAACTGCCCGTGATTCTCCTTTATAATTTCTGTAGGCCTTAGGATGTTTGGCCCGTAGATGTCTAGCCATGTTCATACAAATTTCTATACCGCAAAGCAAACAACGTTGACGTTTACTTGTTATTATTTTAAAGTAATTCCACAATTTACTCCTTTTTCCTGTTCAACAAAATCGAATTATTAAAAAATTTACTACTTAATACTAACATCAAAATGGCGTATAGTTAATTTTAAACTACTAGTACTACAACTACAGACTGTATTAATGACTGGATTTAATGGAATGAGTGAAAAGTACTGTGTACCGGCCGATGTAATGATTGTTCCATCTTTATCCTGGGTATAATGTGTATACATCATGTCAGAAGCTAATATAGTAAGAGAGACAATATATGGGTTCCTACATAATTAAAGAGGATTCCAATATACTAATCATTGAATAGTATGATACACATAGACACCGAAAGTTTAATAGGCATAGTGGTAATAATGTTATGTGGTGAAATGTAATTGTGACTGAAGAAATGCTGCGAGCTACCGAAGAAGATAGCACTCACTTCAATCCATGTGTCCTGGATCTGTTCTCCTGTACCTGTTTTCGCTTCAAATTTAATACGAAGTATAACTAATAACAATACCACTTTTACATGTCATGAATATATTGAATTGCACATAATCAGATAAGCATTTAAATATAATATATTTACAATTAAAGAACACATTACATAATATATATTTAAATATTGTGTAATTGATTCATATAGCATTATATATAATAACAGGCGCAATAGTAGGACTACTATTATGCTTCCTATTATTTATGATGATATAGTAAATTATATGAATCTGTAGTCAAATCTGTAAGAAGTCTTTGTGTCTACAATTTCCAACATCATTTATTCTACTATATTCTAAAATTTTCTAGATTGATTTGAATACTTCAGTGGTATGGTATATCCGTCCGTTGTATAGAAGGGTATAAAAACAAATGTGTATATCAAGATTTGGGTTTATCACAATGATGATAGTCGACGTTGGTTTTGTTATATAAGAAAATATTCCTTTTTTAGAAACAAGTACCATCTATTTCATAATGACGTAATTTAAACTATTGTCGTAATTATGTGGGTTGTTAAATAATACGTCTGTCTTGCTGTTGCCACCATTGTGCCTTTATCCTGAAGTTATGGGCCTAGTAACGTAATTAAATATTTTAATACAAACATCTTTCATAAATTTAGTAGTGTGATATGAAAAATGTTGACTAAAAGGTACGTACTTAACGTTCCAAAATTATGATTTGGACTTCCAACTCATTGTCGGAAGTAATTGATAAATTTCAGATCAGATTTAGGTGAAACCGAACAGAAAAAAAGTAATGTCAAGTTCGTGATGACGATTAACCATAACTATATGAAGACCCCGATTTTTATTTTTCTATTAATTAGAAAACTATAAGGATCACTATCACAATAAGAAAGGTCGTCATCATGGCAGCATCATGCAGTTTCATGATCTGATTAAAAGTCACGAAATTGTAAACTGTGGTAGCTCGTATATTTGATAGAGTCATTCATCTTATTCCAAATACAAAATATTAAATTAATTACAAATCTCTTACAATAATTATTTAAAAGAATACAAGGCACAACCAAACTTATATTTTGAAATAATTTCCTTTTGCTGTCACAAAATATTTTGGTGGCTCGTGTGCATGACATTCATCCGCCATTGCTATTTTATTATCTTCTCCTAATTTGACTGACGCACGACAGCCGGCACTTCTCTTGGAGCAGTAATAGTGATTCGGGTGTTTCATGGAGTATGTATAGCCCCTCAACATCAACAATCTGCCTTTTCGTGACGGTAAGAACAATGGCCCGGCTACAAATTTCAATAATTTGAAGAATATTATTTTAGAGTAATATATAATAAAGGAGAAAATTTCATAAAAATAAATGACACATTGCGCGGCATGAATTCACGCGGAAGCATGACATCTTTCCGCAAATCGCAACATATGAGTTCGTGATATCTTTGTTGTTAGGCCTGTACTTAAGGGAATTGTTGCATTTAAGAAAGCGTTATTCATATATTGAGCATATGCTCCACAACCAAAGCGAGGGAGCCCGTACGCTAATGCGGGCCGAATCCTCCGAAGTGACGGTGGATGGTCATTGCGATCCCGTGACTCATTTGGGAAATGGCACTTCTCCAAAGCATCCCACCTTGTAGTTTTAACCTTTAGTGGGAGTCCTACAGTGTCCGTTCGCTTCCAACGGGGCGGGGGGATAAGGGATTTTCTCCAAATAAAAAAATACGCCATATAGATTGATAAACATATTATATTTTAATATATCGTCCTGAAGCCGATCTTATATATTTGGGAGGTGGGTGTTCATGATGGCAATATGCTCTTATTATGTCCCCGTGATGCCCTAAGGCGACACGAGCCTTGCAACCAGAGTCCTTCTTTGAGCAGTAGTAGTTATTCGTTAAGTTTTTTTGAGAGTATGTGTAACCGTTCATCATAATCAGATGTTTACCCTTAGCTGTAGGTATCATAGTATATCTTTGGGCGGTACCTAAAAAAGTAAACATTTTTTTTAGGTATTAATACTCTAAATAT